GTGGCTTCCTATTGACTCTGTGATACAACCTCTCTGTTTTGACCTTTCTATCCCTTTATAGTCTGACTCTCAGCCTATTTTTCCTGGATGATTATACATTCTTTTCTCTTTGCCTCTCTTTTCTGTCCAAACCAGCCTACTTGCTGTTCTCCAGTACATAACATTGCACCACAATGCCTTTATTTAGGCTGATTGATTCTCCTCTCCCCTAATGCCTAGAATTTTTGTCATCTTTGACTCTTGGAATCTGTCCTTCACCTTCGGCACTAGTCCTTTTCTGATTCTTCTAGTTAAGGATGGGTAACCTGCTGCCTGAGGCTACATGTGACCCTCTAGGTCCTCAAGTTTAGGCCCTTTGACTGAATAAGTTCCACAGAACAAATCCCCTTAATAAAAGAATTTAAAGTCACATGTTGGCTCAAGGCCTCAGGTTCCCCACCCCTGCTAGAGTAACTAGTATGGGTCTATTAACCTTCCCAATGTTTTTTTTTCTCTATTTCTGAGGCTGAAACTAGTAGGGAATGGTTAGCTTTCACTTGGGAAGGAATCCAGTATACCTTTACTGTTCTTTCTCAGGGCTCCCTGAACTCTCCTTCGTACTACTACATTATGGTGGCAGAGACCTGAAAGAGGTTTCACTTCCTGAGGTCATTGTTGTACACTGTTCCATTGACATGGCTCAAGACTGGATCAGATGAGGCTACAGTGGCAGAAACTCTACTGGAGCCACTCCTGTTCTAGTTGGTAGTTTCTCTTTGCTCTCCCAAGTTACTTTTAAAATATTTTGTATTTAATTGCCTATTCACCTAGAATCTGTTTGCCTTCTAGTAGAGTGTAAGCTCTCTGAGAGCAGGGACTGTTTGCATTTTTTTGTTTGATTCTTTGTCTAGTACAGTACCTGGTACATAGCTTATTGAAAGGAATTCTTGCTAAAATTGAAGGAAACTGTTTGTTCACCGCCATCATTTATTTATTTATTTTTTTGTGAGGCAGTTGGAGTTAAGTGATTTGCCCAGGGTCACACAGCTACTGTCAAGTGTCTGGTCTGAGGCCATATTTGACTCCAGGCCCAGTACTCTATCTACTTTGCCACCTAGCTAGAAGCAAATAGTTTTGTAGCATCTGTTTTTACAGTCAATTCAATTTGGCAAGTTGCCAAAACAAAAAACAGCTCTTATTACTGGGTATACAAAGGAAGTCCCTTAGGGAGCTTTGTATAGTTCTTAGGATACTAATATAGTATTTGGTTTAGTAGATAATAGTTAAGGGGGAAGTATAGGTTCATACACTGTCATTTTGATCTATTTCTGTACCTTCATTTTATAGATAGAAAAATCTGAGGCCTAGAGAGGTTAAATAACTAAACATAGGTTATACCTCCACCAGAGCCTGTTCTATAGTCTCCTAATTCTCCAGTTCAGCTTTTTTTATACTACTACACCAATCTAGACATAGGTACTTAGTAATTAAAGAGGACTACGAGGAAGGTGGAGAGGACTCAAGTGGTAAAAAACATCCGGTTAATTTTTGTTTATAATATGGAAGCATTGACTTAACCTAGAAGCATAACTAATTAAAAGTTGGAGACATTCCATGGAACGTGAATCTCCATAATCACATAAATCAAATTTTCATGGGTCTGAATTTTAAAGACAAAAATTTCATTTTTGTGAGGTAAGAGAAAGAAGGAATAAATAGCTCAGTTTATTTTTCATATCATAGGCAAATTGTAAATAACTTCTGCTACAGTTTATGTATCTGAACATGTAATTGATTAGTAACTCTGTGGGATGGTACAGTATTTGGGTAGAGGGGTGGTCTTTGAATAAGCTACAGATCAAGTAATTAAGTATTCCAGGTTTAATTATTGGGTAATGCTTCCAAGTTAGACATCTAAAAATCTGGAAGAAGAGAAAATCCAGATATTCCTGTGACCCATATGCTTTCCATTTTCTTTTGGGCACAGTATGTCTCATAATGGAAGGCAGCCAGGTGTGGGGCTGGGATATCTACCATCTACCGCAAAGCATTGACTTCTGTCTGTGCCAGCGCAAGGCAACAGAAGTTGACTCCTGCTCCAGGTCCAGTGTCAGGTCCAGTGTCCCAACCATAATGTTAGGAACCTCAGGTGCAAAGAGGAGTAAACCCTCTCCTTGATCTCAGGCCTTCCATCTCCTGTTGTTCCTGTCCCTAGAAGAAAGAGGAGGAGGATAATTGGTGGGAATAAAATGTCTTTCTGCTGTATTCTTTCCTGCCATGTCTCTACCTTTTCACTGCGGGAAGAAGAGGAGTAGTGAAGCAAGGTTTCCTATCTAACCATCTGAACTTCTTGTTATTCCCATCTCAAGGCATTTGCTTCCCTCCAAATCTTTTTTGGGAAGAGGAGTGGCACCCTCCACTCCATGAGAACATTTTTATACTTGGTCATACCCTCAATATTCCAGTGATTATGAACCCCTATAGGTTACCATTCCAAATACCAGTCTCTACCACCTACACCTACATCTTTCTCCTTCCATCTGAAACTGGTGCGTCCTGTTGCCTCTAGTCCATTATCCAGCCTCAGTTGGGAAGAGAAATGGTGTCCTATACCCTGTAGTTCATCTAAACCCCATTACCCTTCCACTCAATTCCTTATTCCCATCTCCTTCAACCTCACTTCAAAGTTTCAAACAAACACCACCCAACCCTTCCACTGTACCCTCTAGAGTGCCTATTCCATAGGCAACAAACTTCCCTTCATCCTAAATCTTTACTTCTCTTACTCTTTTTTTCATCTAGCTACTACTGAAACCTTACTCCATTCAGATGACACACCATCCTTGGCCACCCTTTCTAGTATGGGCTGTACTACTTCATTCATTCCCTTCTGCTTGTTGGTTGAGGCAGGGGAGTTACAATACTCCTTGCTCTCAGTTGACATTTCTAGGTTTTTTTCCCTTTCCTCTATCATTTAGTAACTTCTCCTGAGGTTCATGCTATTCATCTCTACCACCCATTCAAAATCTTGTTAGCTGTAGACTGTAGACCTACACATTCCTCTTCTTCACTTTTACTGTCCCACCCACCTTGATCTTTCTATACACACAAATGTACCAACTCCACATTCAAGATTTCTAGAATCACCGTATCTGACCATAATAATCTTATTTGTTTTTCCTTTCTGCCTCTGCGTTCCCTTATAAAACCTTTCTCTATATCCCTACTTGGACCTCCATAATCCCTTGGTGTGAACCAGGTAATTCTACACTATGCTCCTCTAGAATCCCTAGTTTCCTTATTTTACCATTTATTATGTCCTGCCAGTCGTCAGCCTTGGATCACTCCCATCATTTACCAGCTTCACTCCTATACATCTGCTGCTGAATTTTCAACTATTTTGACTGCATCCATTACAAATCTATTATACAACCTCAGCTGGGCCCTCACTGCTGGTAGACATTCTATTTATACCTGCCTAACATCACTATCCCACTCTCCATAGTAGTGGCTTTTCCATGCCTTTTAATTCCTTCTTAAACTTTTCATGATTTCCCTGTCCACTCTCAAATGAGAGACACTTTACAGAAAAAGATTGAAGCCATTGTTGTGAAGTCTCTCCACTGTTCTCCTTACCAAGACTAACCCCTTTGCTTGTTCACGTGATCCAATTTTATTCTGTCTGCTCTAAGAGATTAGATTGCCCCTTCTTGTCATTCTTACTCTTTCACTTATTTTCATTTTATCCCTTTCTACTGGCTCTTTCTGTGCTGCCTACGTGCCTTCCCTATCCTGAAAAGCCCCTCATTTGATCCTTCCATACTTGTTAACTATAATCTTCTGCGTTTTCTGGCTAAACTTCTTAAAAAGGCCATCAGCAATAGGTGCCCCCACTTACTCTTCTCTCACCCCTAACCCCTCACAATCTGGCTTCTAACCACATACCTCTCCAAAATTACTAATCTCTTAGTTGCCAAATCTAGTGGCCTCTTCTCATTCCTCCTTGACCTGCAGTCTTTGATGCTATTGGTCCCCCTTGCCTCCTTGATATAATCTCTTTTCTCTAGGTTTTCATACACTACTTTTCCTTCCTATATAACCAATGCTTCTTTGTCTCCTTTACTGGATTCTCTTCCAAATCATGCCCTCTAATTGTAGATGTCTCAAGGTTCTGTTTTGGGGCCTCTTCGTTTTTCTATGCTGATGATTCTCAAATCTACTTCTCCTGCTTCAGTTTTTATGCTGACCTCCATTTTATCATCTTCAACTGTCTTTTAGACATCTTAAACTGTCTTAAACTCAATGTGGCCAAAGTATAACTCTATCCCTAAACTTTCTTCCACTCAGCCACCCTTTCCTATTACTCTATAAGGTAGCACCATCCTCCCAGTCCCTCAGGCTTAAACTGTCATCTCCCATATCCAAGCTCTTGCCAAGGCTGGTCCACATCTCTCAAATATGCCCCTTTCTCTCCTGACACTGACAATACACTGGTTCAGGCCCTCGTCATCTTATACCTGGACTATTATTGTTAATAGTTTGCTGTTGGTTCAGCTTGCCATAAGTCTCTCTCTACTCTAATTCGTCTTCCATTCAGCTACTAAAGTGATTTTCCTTTGATCATGTTACTCCCCCCTACTCAAACTCCAGTGGCTCCCTGTCCCCTCCATAATCAAGTCAAAATCCTCTTTGTCATTCAAAATCCTTTATAAACCTTTCCAGTCTTATACCATAATATCTGCCATGTATACTTTGATCCAGTGACACTAGCCTCTATGTTCCACAAACAAGAAACTCCATTCCTTGATTCTCTGGGTAATCCCCCATGCAAACTCCTACAGAGCAGGGACTGTCTTTTGCCTTTATTTTTTGCCTTTATCCCTAGCGCTTAGTACATTTGTCATTTCTAAGTTTTAATTCATATAGAATGTCAAGGTTAAGATAATAGAATTCAAGTTGTAATATTAACTAATTGTTTGCAGCATGTCTGTATTTCTAAAAAAATTTTTTTCTTTTTACAGCATAAGCAGTACTATAATGGATGTAGACAGCACAATTTCCAGTGGGCGTTCAACTCCTGCAATGATGAATGGACAAGGAAGCACTACTTCTTCAAGCAAAAACATTGCCTATAACTGTTGTTGGGACCAGTGCCAGACTTGCTTCAACTCTAGTCCAGATCTGGCAGATCACATTCGTTCCATACATGTAGATGGTCAGCGAGGAGGGGTTGGTTTTATTCCTTTTTTCTTTTCTCACATCCTCACCACCCTATTTAAATTATTTTGTAATTTAGAACTGCTACCTAGCTGTTCTTTTAAATTACTTTGTGGTTATATATGTTACAATTTTTTAATATGTTTTATTATACATGTCATTTCTCTTTTCAAGTGGAAATGCATTTTGTATTATTATATGAACACCAGTTTACTTAGTTGTGATGTTACCTAGTATCTTTTTACCCCCTCCAGTTCATCAATATAGGTTAAAAGCAAGAGGGAAAAATTCTCTGAACATTTTAAGTGCGATAGAATACAACAGTTTTTTTGTTGCTATTGCTTAGTGGGTTGCATTTTATCTTTTTCAAGTAAAAGATTCTACCACTTAATTTTGCTCTTTGTTTTTCAGTCTTATTTAGAGGTAAAATATATTTTATTGATGACTTGAAACTGTCAGTGATTTCTGAAAGAAAAACACCCTCCCATGTGACAAAGAACAACCATCAAACTAAAACATCCAGCATAATGATCACATCTGACCATACATAAAACATTTCCTCCTGGTCATCTCCTCTTTTGCTGTTCTTGGAATCTACCTTTAGTTCTGATACTCAGAGCTTGGCTCTGATTTCTTTATTAAGATTTTTGCACTCATTATGCATATTGATCTGATTTTACTTATTTTGCTCTATCATTTCTAACTTTACTTGCACACAAATAATCATTATCTTCATATAGTAGTTTTTCAGTCATTCTGCAAACAATCATCCATTTGACCATTTATCAGCTATTGCAAGAAATGCTGTCAGTTCGTAGAGAACTCTTTACTGCACACAAATAATCATTATCTTCTATATATAGTGGTTTTTCAGTCATTCTGAGAATGATCATCATCTGTTTGGCCATTTATCAGCTATTGCAAGAAATGCTGTGATTATTTGATATTTATTTGGTATTTGACTTTCATATTTTATGTACCAGGGAGTAGTATTTCTGGGTCAAGGGGTATGAATAATTTAGTTGCTTTTCTTGAGTAGTTCTACACTAATATCCAGGATGGTTGTTCCTATTCACAGTTCAGCCAACAGTGCAATAGTGTGTGCCTGTCAAGAGTCCATTTATTATCAACTCTTTTTGTCATCTTTGCCAGTTTGCCTGGTGCCTTAGTAGCAGAAGGGTTTGTTGTTGTTGTTGTTGTTGTTGTTTTTTAGTTTCAAGGTAACAAGGTTTCCTTATAAAGAAAGATATCACCACTATAAAAATTCAGTTCAACATAAACATTCAAGCCGTGTATGCTTTGAGTTAGAAACAATCCTAGATTGTTAGAGACTCCTGTTACTAGCAGTAGTTATGTTAGCCATTTGTACTAAATGGCAACTGTTACTTGGAGCTAAAATTGTTCTAGGTGTCTTTAGACCTTACCCCAGGTGTAGGTGTACTTTCATTAAATCACTTTTGATCTGCGTGGGGTTGTGGGAGGAGAGGTAGAGTTGAGGATATTAGTACTGTCAAAATAGTTGTTTTGAATACTGAGTGTAAGGAACTATAAACTTAAAAGAATATTGTGGATAAAAACTAACTTTTAAAAAACAGGCTGAATTTACTGTACATGATCTCCACCTTTGCCACTACCAATCTACTCTTTTATCTGCATGTTGTTTCTTTTGAGATGCAGTAGTGCTAGCTTAGTTGGCTTGCTGTGTCACGTTGCTCATGTTGCTCACGTTGCTTAGTGATTACTTCCAAGACTGCTTTAATTTATATTTTCTTTTTAAGTTTTTTTTTTTTTTGAAGAGAACCAAAACTTGATTGACTTTGAATTTTTATTCTTGGATCTGTAGGAATCTTTGAGTCAGTCATTATATTTTTCAGGTGCTTAATATGTTCCAGGCATTTTCTGTACATTGAGGATACAAAAAAAGACAAGAAAGTCTCTGTCCTTTACATCTAACACATTACTAGGTTTTAATTGGATTCTAAATTTTCAATGTCTGTATTTCTAGGAGGTCCATTAATGAATCTTTGGCACATAATAATGGCAAAAACCAACCTCAATGGCTAGATATATTGTAACTCAGTCTGAGTTTTATAATTTGTTTATGCTTGCTGGCTAGTGCTGAGAATCCAGTGTTAGAAGATGTCTAGCAGAGAGTCTCATTTTGTCATCTGATAAAGTGTCTTATACTAGACTTCTGTTTTCAGTAACATCAGATATGTTCCTGCTTATGGGCTGGAATAAATGAATAAAGCCAAATGAAGAATATCTTAAATCAAAAGGATCTTTGATTCTAATTGTTTACATACTTATCCCTACACTATAATTCAAGAACATTATTGTACCCCAATGTATTCCCATGTTCTAGTATTTATATAATAATATGCTAAGCAGTCTTTACAAATATTGTATCATTTAATCCTCTCAACAGCCCTGGGAGGTAGGTTCTATTTTTCCCAGTTTACAGATGAGGAAATGAAAGCAAATAAGTAAGTTGCCTAGCAAATACGTAAGTTGCCCAGGGTCACGCAACTAGTGTTTTGAGGCTAGATTTGAACTTGAGTCTTTCTGGCTGTAGACCTAATGCTCTCTTCACTATGCCACCTATCTGTATCTCTTTTATTCTTTACTCAAGTTCTACAATTTTTTTTGAACATCCCTTCTCACTCACACTAAGAAAGTCATATCAATATAACAAATTTTTTTTAAAGCAAAAGGAACAAAAAATGAGCAAAGCTTATCAGTTTGTTGGAAAAAAATCTGAAAACCTGTGCAGTATACCAATACCCATTGACCTCTACTTGCAAAGCTGTGGGATAAGGGTGTCTTCTCATAATTTCTTTGGAGTTATGATTGGTTGCAATTTTGTAACATTCACTATGTGTATTGTTTTTTATGCAAATAAGTTAAAATGTTTATATCTTTTGACCCAGAGATTTCACTACTATATAAAAAGGAGATCACTGATAAGAAGAAAGTCCCTATGTGCATCAGAATTTTTGTAGTAGTTCTTTTTGTGATAGCAAAGAATCAAAAGCAAAAGTAGAATCCCATCAGTTAGGAAATAGCTAAGCAAACTAATACATGAATATGTTGTAAGACATGATAAATATATTTAGTGATGCAGAATGAATTAGGACAGACCCAAGAAAACAGCACAATGACTGCAACAGTGTAAATGGAAGAAAGTACAACCACTCTCAAAAATCCAAAGTGATTGTTGTAAAATTTTACATTAAGAAATTTTTTTATTCCTTTGCTTTTATATCATCTTTTCTAAAGTATGGTCTTTCTGCTCTGTGTTCCCATTTAAAAAAGGACCAGGTTCGTTGTGTAGAATTAACTGAAACTGGCCAACAGAATCTGACAGTATATCTAATGTTCCACAATCATAATAACCCTGCCCCTACAAATAAGGGATGTAATTGCATTTTTTCAGTTCTTTTTCAGCGTAACCAGTATAGTTACACCAGGAATTTAGTTTTGTTTCTTTTTACTTTCCATTTATAGTGAGATGTGTATATTGTTTTCATTTAAATTTCTACAATTTCTAGTTTGGGACGGGACGGGACCTCAAATTAGAAATGAACCTTCTTGTACCAAGAATATTTGAGTGGTTCAGAGTGCCTGTATAGGGAAATCTATTAACCAAGGCTAAGTACAATTATAACGACTGAATTCTTGGGTCCATGCTTCTGCGTTTCAAATACTGTAGCAAAAGTTTTGGACCTTCTGTCCACTTATGTATTCCTGAGTTGTTTATGCTGTACAAGCAGGTTTTCACTCTTGAGGAGCATTAGTCCTTTACTCTTGGGATTTGATTGTTAAGTTATCCATGTGGTTCCTTTTTTTGATATTTTGTTTGTCTTAAGCTTTTCTCACTTATTCTTTTCTGGACTCTCTTCTTTGGTTGGTTTCTTATTTTTCTTTTTTGTAGGATGGTATTTGAAGACTTGAAGCAGGCCAACCACCCCATGGTGAGATAGGAATTCTGCCTTTGAGAAATAGTTATGGTGGGTTTAATCATCTTGAGGAAAGTAGCCTCCAAGGCCTTAGGTAATACTTCCATAACTTTAATACAACATAATGGATGGATATCTAGCTGTGTAGTCAGGAAATTTCTTCAATAATGGATTATTAAGTTTTTTTCCACATGAATAAATTGTTGTGCTGAAGTACATTTCATTTGCATTACTGTTTGGATAAATTTTACTGCTTTAGAAGTTTTAATTCAATTTCCTGATGTGTGGCTAGATTCTCTGTTACGTTGCATTAAATTCTTTTGCACTGGTTATATTAAAAATCCTACATAGTGATGTCACATACATACTTAGTGTGCAGTGTTAATGAAAGAGGGGTACATATTTCTGTACTGCCACATAGGCCTATATAAATTATGCACACTTTCAAACAAATACACTGGTACATTTGTTCAAGGAAATTGACCAAAGTGAAGGAGAATAAGACTGCCCCCCCCCCCCCACCATTCCCAGTTTTGTACCAGCCTTTTTCATCTTGGGTATTCTGGAGAAGATCCTTCAAGGTAAGGTACTACTAAGGATAAACCTATACTTAAAGAAAAAAAATTAAGGTTTTCTGGAATTTTCCAAAAGAAGGGAAAGCCCTCCCTTAAATTTTGAGATAACAGCTTTCTAGATAACATAGTCGAGAGCATTATAAATCTGAGACTCCAGTACAAAACATTCTTGGACAAAGTTTCATATCACATAAACATGGTGCTTGATTATTTTCTCACTGTTTGATTGTTATCTTTCCCTTAACTTTGTTTTTGCAAAGTCTTTTCGATAATTACCCATATTTATATAGTACTTAACAATTTACAAAGCATTTTCCTCCCAGTGTCCTTGTGACTGAGCAATTAATATCCTTTTAGAAATACGGATATGAAGGTCAAAAAGATTTAAGTGTATTACCCAAGGTCATTTAGCTAGTAAAATGTCAAAGTTGTGACTTCCCAGGGGTCTCTGATAACAAACCTAGTGTTCTTTTCAGTGTCACTGCCTCATCATTCTGATATTGGATTTATGTGATATAATGTCTTATTTATTACCATTTCGCTTGTCATGTCTGCATTCATAAAATTAGGCTGTCAGGATTTAAGTTTTTTTTTTTTTCCACTTGCTAAAACTCATTTAATAGCTGTAGGGATTATGGGCACTTATATAATCACTTACCCTTTTAGAATTACCTGGGGACAGTGAGAAGTTATGACTTGCATGTGGTCACAAGGCTTGTATGTGCTGGAGTAAAGACTCAGACTCTAAAGCTTCTTTGAACTGGTTGTCCTGTAGGTATATTAAACCTAGCCTATCTAAAACAACATATCTTCCTGCCCCCGAACTGTATCATATTGTCTCATTTTTATTACTATTGAAGATAGCATCATCACCCCAGTCGTGGTGTCACATTCAGTTCCTCTTTCATCCCACACATTCAGTCCATTGTCAAAGTTGGTTGGTTATGTTTTCAGAGCATCTTGCATATGTTGCCTTCTCTACTTAAATGGTCAGCACTCCTAGGCCCTTCTTGTACTCTTGCAGTAGTAGTTTTTTACTGAATGTCTCTTCAAGTCTTGCCACTCCAAACCATTCTCCATTCACCTGCCAGTGTTACCTTGTTACTTAACTACCATTGGCTTTCTGTTAATATCTCCAGTAGCAGATACAGCAAAGTCCCCTAGCACTTAAATCTCTTCACAGTCTGGCCCTTTCCTACCTTTCTTGCCTTACTACACTTTATTGTTCATGTATTCTATAATCCAGCTGCTATAGCAGACTATTCCTTTAATACTGTATCACCTGCCCCTTGCTTTCCTTGGTTTCTTTCAATACAACTCATCCTACCTTCTGCAGGAGACTTTTTCTAATAAATCATTGAGCTACTAGTATGTTCCCCCTTGAATTTCCATCTACTCTGTATGTATCTTTTCTGTTTTATTTACCTGTTGTCTTCCCCTTCTTGAGAGCAGGTACTGTTTTTCTTTCTTTTATTTTTTTTTTTAAACTTTGTATATCCAGTGCTTATCACAGTGCCTGGTGTATGTAAATTAAGCAATTAACAAATATTTGTTGACCATTGTGCTACATTGAATCTTTTTTTCATAGATCCTCTTAAGATTTATTTCTGTATATTTATAGTGGTATATACACATACATGTTATACATAACCACACATTTTTAAACTGTAATCCTTCATCTTGCCACAGAAAAAGAAAAATCTTTTGATAAGCTTTATTTTATCATCATGCCTAGTAGTTGGCAGAAAATGTCACTTACAGTTCCTTGGAGTACCAACATCCTCTTGGGTTCTGGGTTGAGCCAAGGCCTGGTCCTCCTGAGGGGAAAGGAAAGCAGGAAGAAACTAAATCATTATCTTCAAGTGAGTTTCTTAGAATGAGTTACTTAGACACTAAGGTAGAGGATCACCCGAAAAGTGGGACTACTTTTTGACTTACTTAACATAGAGCTGTTACCGCATGTGATAATATGAGAAAGTACTTTGTAAACTTTCAACAGTTATCAAAATATAATATAAAGAATGAAATTTCCCTCTCATGGGGAAATATTTTTGATACTAGCTGTTTTTCTCCCCCCCCAATATATCTTATTTTCTTTCAGTTCTCAACATTTACTTTTGTATTGGGAAAGAAGAATCGGAACAAAAGGGAAAAACCACAAGAAAGAAAACAACAAAAAAGAAAATAGTATGCTTTGATCTGCATTCAGATTCAATAGTTCTTTCTCTGGATGTGGATAGCATTTTCCATCATCAGTCTTTTGATCTAAGACAATTCTAAAAGATCTCATGATGGGAAATGCTAGCTGTATTTTAATAGTTTGATCGTAGGTCAAACTCATTTAAAAATATTTTTGAAGACTACATACAATTTTAGAGGCAAAATTCTGATTATATTTTCAGGGAAGTTTTTGTTATCAGAATTAAGTACTACTGAATTCATATACATTAGCTTTACATTGAGAAAACATCCATTCTAAAACATTAGCTTGGTTGTGAAGCTACTAGCCTGTTTATTTAGTATGAAATCTTTAGCATAAAGAAAAAGACTTTTGAGTTAGGGTTTTATAAGTGTTTTTAGCACTTAGCATTTTTTTTTTAATAATGGGGGAAGATTGTAAATAGAAACTGTTACCCATAGTTATTCCAAGTTTTTTTGTAGAAGCAAAGGGCAAACAGATTACTATTTGTGGCCATAATATTGACCAGGAATCAAGAGGATATTTTCTTCTGTATGTAGCTAAGCCAAGTTGATTTTTTTCTACAGTATAGTTGTACTGTAGAATAGCATGTCATTTAGAGTTGTTACTTTCAAATAGATTTATAAGCAAGAAGTCAATTTGAAAATGTTAGATCATGTTCAGTTTCACCATAAAAGACTAGTGGATAGAATTGAAGGTTTCTGGTTACTACTTACTGAATTGATTGTCAATAGGTTCCTTTAAATTTTACGCTTGACAAAGATGCATTGAGTTCTCCTTTTTTTTCTCCTTATGTGTTCTTCTAGTGAGTTTCCCAAAAATTGGGTAAGAGAATGTCTCCTCCTTTTGTCTAGAATGGACTAAACTTCTTGCTCTTTTGTTAGGTAATGCCAAGAACTTCAATCAGAGCAGAACTCTTATTGTTGTAGCTGTCATTATTACAGGGTTTCAAAATTTCTACAACCAATAATACATTTGTATTATAATACATTACTATACATAATAATACAATTGTTTATTGCATAATAAAATAAAAACTAGTTAAAGCATAACAGTTGGTTGTTTTCCTGACCTGGTTTTAAATGTGTATATGCCCCCCCCCCCCCCCTTACTCTCACTCTGTTATACACACACACACACACACACACACACACACGCTTGCACATAAATTAATGTATAATGTGTGTACATGGCTATATCTCATTGTTGCTCTTTGGATTAGACACATAGAAATAATGAACACATTATTGTATGGATTATTGCATGAATACAATATTCCATTAGTGGTATATGTAGTAGGTGAAGTTTCATTAGAACCAATTGGTCCCTTCTGTTAGTGGTACTTTATATTTAACTAACCATTAAACTTGTCTTCTAGAAACCCTAGAAAACTCAAGGGAATTGGACATAACCCATAGAGGGCTCTTTATCTACCTGTCCCTTATGACCCAGTAAATTTGTTGAACAGAATTGGAATTCAGTCTTTCTTTAAGTTAGTCATAAGTTATTTCTTAGTTCTCTCCAAAGTAAATGTTTTGAGCAAAAATAATTATTTTTGAAAGTTTGCTTGTTAGGCATTATCTGTCTTTGAAATTTTCATGCTTTGTTCCATGTTTTTTACCTGTATTCTGTTATATACAGATGGATGTAGAAGTTTATGTGTTTTGAAATGTGGCTCTATAATAATTGCATTTATCTTTTAGATAAAAGAACCGTACTTATTTATTATCCTTTGAAGGTAGTAATTATAATGGGATCACACTTTCATTGCTGATGTTGAAGAGCATTCTTTGATTTTTAAGTTTCACGAATAGTGATTTTTTTGTTTTACTGAGTGTAAGATTAAAATAGGATGGTGAGGCTCTTCTCTATTACAGGATGTTTGTTGGACAATTAAAAACCCAATCATACCCATGTTGCTTATACCCAAGAATGTAAATATGTTTAATAGCCAAAAAATAAAAATTTTCCATGTTAATGACTTTTGCAAATCAGTATTTTCAACATTATACTGTAAAGAAAAGAATTTTACAGATTTAAAGTTTCAATTTTTGCTTCCTTTTTATTCTTTAGTCCACAATCAAGATTACTGATTGCTAAGAATAGATTTTCTTTATATGCTTGTAATATAGTTTTATAGAAAAAAACCCCACACATTTAATCAGTTACTAGCTTTTCTTAGAGCTTTCTGACATCTTTGAAAACAAGAAAATATTTGTTTATTCTGTCTGCTTGAAATGATTAAATTTATTTGTAACACTTGCTGTTTAAATGGAATTATCTTTGTTTTCAGTTTGAACATTTCTCCTTAGAAAATGTTATTTTATTTTACAAAGAAATATTTTCTTTGAAATAGTCATTAATATTTTGCTGGTTTTATATGCAGTAAGTCAACATGCTATTTTATATCTAGAGAGAATTTGCTTATAAAAGCTCATCAATTTCATAGTTGCCAATTGTTATTTGTTAACAACCTCTTTGACCTTATATTAACTATTGATTTCTTATTTTTTTCAAGATGAGTACATTTGAAAAAATAAATAAACAAGCCATCTAAAGTGTCTTCTAATTACTACAAATACTGAAGTTAAAACTACTTTGCTTAAAGCTTTTGCTCCATATGCTCTTGTCATTGTTCGCTATTATTGAAAAATTTGGTATCTGAAAATTTTTATATCAAAAGATTTTTTAAGTGGTTTTGGAAAATAAATTGTTTTTGAACTGAAATGAAATAGAATGCCAATTGAAATTTTTATAGGAGAATTAATGAAACTTTTGTTTTTGACAGGTATTTGTTTGCCTATGGAAAGGTTGTAAAGTATACAACACTCCTTCAACCAGTCAAAGTTGGTTACAAAGACATATGCTGACACATAGTGGAGACAAACCTTTCAAGGTAAACAGCTTTTGCAACTTTTTTTTTTTTGCAGGGGTGGGGTCTTGGGTGTGTGAGGCAATCTGGGTTCAGTGCCTTGCCAAGGGTTGTACAGCTATTAAGTGTCAATTTTCAGATTTGAACTCAATTCCTCCTGACTCCAGGGCTAGTGCAATCCACGGAGCCACCTAGCTGCCTATGTATTGTTTATTAATGAACGGTTTCATTGTTAAGGATGATTGCTGAAGTTTAAAAGAACTGTGTTTACTTTCTTCATAGACTCAACTTAATGTTAGGAGAAAAATCTGAGGAGCTCAAGATCTAGTGAGATTGTGACTTTTGCCCCGATGGCATAATTTAGGTCTCACAATTCCAGTGTTCATTCTTGTTGTACCGTGCTTTCATTCTTGAATGTTTATTGATCTTAGTGGTGTGAGTACTTGCTGCACAAATGCAAATTATAAGCCATTTGTACCTAACTATCTAATGGAACTGTTACTCGAATGTTCCCCTAAGTTTGCTGAAGGGTATCTACTGGATGTTTTTTTTTTTCCCCTCAGTCTGTCTCGTCATGGTGAGTATCATGGTGAGTATATCAGTGGAGCACATGGACTATGTGTCATTTCTTGTTCTTGGCCATATGGCCAACCATCTTCTTGAGTCAGATTTCTTTGACATACTTTATATAACTTCTCCTTTGTAATTCCTCTTATTTAAGGTATTACAGCCCATTCATGTGACCCTGTGCCTCTCCATGGGTCTTTATGCAGTCAGTTCTTCAGTCAGTTCCATGACTCTCACCCATACAATATTACTATTAAAAAGATGGTCTTCTGTTTTAGGGAGGTGTTTGGTTTCGTTCAAAGCCAAACAATAATTGTTTGAAGGCAAGCCAGCCTGCTCTCCTTGTTCAATTCTAGTCCCATCTTGACCTTTTGATTTGTTCGAGATAGTATACTGATAAGTTGTCTTTCTAACTGCCTGTGATAATGTGTCCAGTGTCTTTCTAACTGCTTATCCCAGGGAAATTGACATTGTTTATTCACTAGTGTTTCCAGTGTGAGTAGTTAGGCACATTTCTTTTTAGGCAGTTAGTTGGCTGAGTGGATAGAACGTAGGATTTGGAGTCAAGAAGGCCTGAGTTAAAATCTTGCCTTGCATTCTTATTAGCTCTGTCACCCTTGGTGAAGTCACCTAACCTGTCTGCCACAGTTTTTTCTATAAAATGCGGATGATAATAATAGTACATCACAGCTTCTATGAGGGTCAAATGATATATTTTAAGAACTTTGCCAACCATAAAGCTCTAAGTAAGTGCTAGCTCTTACTACTTCTACTCCTCCTACTCCACTTACCTTTTATTAAGCAGTTATCTAAAATGTTCCTGGGCCTTATAATCAGTACAGTGTTGTGCACAGACAAAAACATCTGGAGGACATTAGCTAGCTAATTCCACTTACCTTTGACTCTGCAGTGGTGATAAGTAGTAATCAGAGGGTGGTCAAACAAGTTTTCACTTATCTTTCAAGGAATTTTGTATGTTTTTGACAAAAGCATGGAAACTACTAGGGAAAGATTTTAAATAGGTATTTTGCTCCACTGAACCATGCTTCTAATAGCCAACAATGAGTGGGATCTCATATTTTCCTTTTTTAATTAATTTATTTTGATTTATCAACAATCACTTCCATAAGCTTTTGACTTTTAAATTTTTCTTCCCCCTCCCTCTCCAAGGCGTGGAATCTTACATATAGGCTATACATATACATTCCTATTAAACATATTTTCACACTAGTGATGTTGTAAGAATTAGAACCAATAGGAAGAACCACCAGAAAGAGGAAACAAAAAAGAAAAAAATAGCAAATAGTATGCTTCGATCTCCATTCAAACTTCCATAGTTTTTATTTTCCATCACGAGGCCTTTGGAGATGTCTACAATGTTCTCCTGGTTCTGCTCACTCCGCATCAGACCATACAAGTCTTTCCAGTTTTTCTGAAGTCTGTCTGTTCATCATTTCTTTTTTTGTTTTTGTTTTTGTTGTTTTGTTTTTGGTTTTGGGTGATGCATTCTGGGTTACAGGACTTGAGAGTCACACTGCATGTGTGTTATGTGACTGAGGCCAGATTTGAACTCAGGTCCAGTGCTCTTATCCATTATGCCACCTAGCAGACCCTTCATCATTTCTTATAGCACAATAGTATTCCATTACATTCATATACCACAATTTGTTCAGCCATTCCCCAATTGATGGGCATCCTCTTAATTTCTGGATCTTTTATTTTGAGTAAGTTTTACTCAGTTTCATGATGGTAAAAATGTACTGATTTGACCTGCTGTGGTGTTCTATTACGTTTATCAGGGATATCCTTGACAAATATGTGTATTATTCTCATAAAAATTTTGTAGTGATAGCAAAGTAAGTCACCATTTGTTGCTAATAATAAGGCCCAAGATTTTTTTCCACACTTTTGCTCCTTTGGAGATTGAGAATTGATCCTTCACTTTTGTTCTCACTTTTTACTACCATCACTGGCTTCCTTCATGTACAGTTTAATCCAACTGCCTTTATTTTCTTCTGTTCAATTTCCTCATTTATAGCATCACATCTGGACTGAGATCATTGATTTCAAATGTGATAGCTCCATTGTATTTCATATTTTAAAAGTTTGTTGTAAAAATCTCAGGATCATTTTTGTTTATTTTTGCTTGATGTCCTTCCACTTTCATCTCTGAGTTGTCAAACTTTCTTTAAATGGAAATGGTTTACTTGCTTCTCAGTCTCTCTTGTGGTAATACTACTCGTGATGTTCCACTCTCCTTCTGTAGGATTTTACAAAATAGATTGTTTTGTGCTGGTATTTGCTCTGGATTTCCATAGCTTTTTTGTCTTTGAGATTAAGAACATTAGTAATTTGTTTTAGTTTGCAACATTCACTTCCATAAGATTTTGAGTTTTAAATTTTCTCCCCCTACTCCTCCCTCCCCAAGACAGCATGCAATCTGATATAGGCTTTACTTAAACATTCATATTAAACATTTTCACGTTAGTCATGATGTGAAGAAGAATTAGGAACCATGAGAAAGAAGAAACAAAACAAAGCAAATAGTATGCTTCCATCTGCATTCAGACTCCACAAAGTTCTTTTTCGGGATGTGGATAGCATTTTCCATCGTGAGTCTTTTGGAGTTGTCTAAGATCCTTGCATTGCTGAGGAGAGCTAAATATCAAAGTCAGTCCTTGCACAATGTGGTTGTTACTGTGTACAGTGTTTTCCTGGTTCTGCTTATTTCACTCAGTGTCAGTTCTTATCAGTCTTTCCAGATTTCTAAATAGCATTGTAGGAATATGGTTATTAATCCACTCTGCTTTCCGCTTCTGTTGTATGGGGAGGTCATCCAATTCCCATTCACAGTTATGATTACTCTCTGTGTCTTTCTCTTGATTCTATTTCCCCTGTTTATGCTTTTCTCTCTCCTTTCTCCCTTTCCCTCCTCACTAGTTTTGCTTTCTACCACAGTGTCCCTCAGTCTGCCCTCCCTTCTATTAGCCCCTCTTCCTTTTCTTTTCCCTTTCCCCTCCTACTTCCTATATGGTAAGTTAGATTTCTATAACTAACTGATTATGTTATTTTGTATTTGAGCCAAATCTGGTGAGTAATATTCAAACAATGCTCATCTCCTGCTCTTTCTACTGTAATAGGTTTTTGTGCCTTTTCATGTGATGTAATTTAACCTTGTCTGCATCCTCTTCCTCTTCTCCCAGAACAATCCCTTTTCATCACTGAATTAGATTTTTTTTTATCATCACATCAAAGTCAACTTAAACCCACACCCTCTGTTTATGTATGTCCCTCTTAAATGTCATAATAACTATACAGTTCTAAAGAGTTGCAAGTGTCTTAGCTTGTAGGGATGTAAAGAGTTTGCCCTTGATGATTTCCTGAAAGATGCTGTCCAGGCATTTTTCTTCTTCATGCTTTTCAGGTAGACCAATAATTTTTAAAATTGTCTCTCTTGGATCTATTTTCCAGGTCATTTGTTTTACTAATGAGATATTTTACATTGTCTTCTATTTTCTTTATTCTTTTGTTTCTATTTGACTGATTCTTCTTATCTCATAGAGCCATTAGCTTCCGCTTGCCCAATTTTAATTTTTAACTAATTGTTTCCTTCTATAATTTTGTACCTCGTTTTCCATTTGGCCCATTTTACTTTTTAAGGAGTTGATTTCTTCAGTGTACTTTTTTTCATTTGGCCAATTGTATTTTTTAAGGATTTGTTTTCTACAGTCAGTTTTTTGTCCTTTTTTCAAGCAATTGATTCTCTCTTGTATACCTTTATTTCCTTTCCCAGTTTTTCTTCTACTTTTTAAATCCTTCCAAGAAGGCTTTTTGGGCTTGAGACCAAATTGAAGTTTTGGATATGGGTATATTGACAATGTTGTTCTCTTCTGAATTTGTGCCATAATCTCTCTTCCTCGTTCCCATAATAGAATCTTTGGTCATTGTCTGTCTCTGCTTTCTGCGACCTGGTCACTGGCTTTGTGTGCCAGGGCCTTGGGTGCTGGCAACTGGAGGCTGTAGGTGTCTGGCAGCTTACCTGGTGCTGAACTGGGGTCAGCAGCACTGAAGCTCTCAGGGTGGGGTGGAGAGTCTGGCATCTCAGGTACGCCTGCTCATTTGAAGCTTCTTTAAAGTGCTCGATTGTTGGGAGGATATCTGCAAGCCTGGAGTTGAGATTTGGCTGCTGGAGAACCACGTGCCGCAAGTGGTAGTTTTCTGAACTTATGTTTAACTGTTCTCCTTCCTGTGCTGAGGCACTCAGGGGGACCTGGTGGGCTCACAGTCTCCCTCTGGTTTGCTGAGGTGGGGTTTGCTGCTGGTTTGCTGGAACACTTCCAGTCCTGTACTGCTCCCCCTCCCTCAGAATGAGAGGGGCCTTTCCTGTTAATCACCCAAACTTCCTGGACTACAAGACTGCTGCACCCCATCTTTCTGCTGGTCTAGGGTCATATTTT